GTTCTAGTGACAAATATTCCTGCATTGGGACAGACACATTAACTGGAATTCAACCTTATCCCTTATATCGATCGGTGGAGAAACAAGCATATAGAACAAACAATGTAAAGTTTCGAAAAACTCCCATTATAACAAACAATTAAAATATAGGTACAAGTAAACAAGTAAAAACAATCAATATTAATGAATATCAATATAGAAATCATGCCGCTCTATGCTTTAATATTATTTCCCCTCATTATTTGTTTTTAAACCTGCACTCTGTACCACAATAACATTGTACTCTACTCTTCGTCAAATATATTTTCACTAGGGGTTCAAAGTTTGTTCCGGAGTGAATGTGAATATAAAATTTACTTAAACAGGAAGGACATCATATGATTTATTAATCATTCATTTGAATTTATTTGTTCTAATAACCGCATTTATAAACTGTAGGCAAGTTTTTACTTTCCCATAAAATAATCAAAGGAGAGCAAACTATCATCGTCATCGCCAATCGAACAGAGTTTTAATGATTCATACGAGGTTTAAGTTTGAAACCAAGAGTGATAATGATCATAATGTACTGGTACAGGGAACATCATGGTCCACCCCCTGAGGTCTTTAGAAGACTGAAAAAATAAGGACTAAATAAATGCAAAAGTTAACAAATGATATATGATAGATCGGGAAAGTTATATAAACTATATGGAGAACAAATATATTTCGTTATTTATGTTTGTAAGATGTTGCCTTAACCTTTCATTTGTTTCATAACTACATACCCTTCCGGAGCACCTGAGATCACCCCCAGTTTTGGTGGGGTTCGTGTTGCTTAGTCTTTAGTTTTCTATGTTGTGCCATCTGTACTATTATTTGTCTGTTTGTCTTTTTATTTTTGGCCATGGCGTTGTCAGTTTGTTTTCGATCTATGAGTCTGACTGTCCCTCTGGTATCTTTCGTCCCTCTCACATAACTTATACATATACTTTTTTTTATTAATTTTGATTTACAAGTAATAGAGTACACTCTACAACTGCTACTAGTCATGTAGTAACGTGGAAGTCAGCAAAACATATCATCAAAGATACAGACCATTTCTCAAAGCTATATTGCAGAGACTACCTTTATATCATATTGGATTGAAAATAAATTTTCTCTTATATAATAATGATGTGTTTTATATTCCCAATTTATTTAAACAATTGGATCATCAATTTATAGTGTTTAATAAAAAAATATCATATCAAAGAAAACCAATGATCCGAGACAGCAAATGTACTATTTATGATTTTTTTTTAGATAAAAAGCAAACTTGTGCTCTTGTTAAAGGCAACAGAAGTATACAGCTGTTCAATAGTCACAATCCGATTATGAAAAAAAAACCAAATCCGGGTAACAAACCAAAACCAAGGGAACCCATCAACTATAACAGGAAAACTTCGGAACAACAGAAACACTGAACTACAACACAAGTTTACGCCAACATACATAGAAACGGACTTTAGATCATAACTACCACATTCCGGACTTGGTGCAGAACATTTTAAGAAAAAATAGTGTTTTAAACCTGGTTTTATGATAAGCCAAACCTCCCGCTCATATGGCAATGTTAAAAATATCGCTAAAATGACAACACTACTTGACAGGAATACAGTACAAACAAACGCAAGAACACTCAGCACAGAGAAATACATAGATAAATAATATAATAGTACATTTCAACATGTAAACCGCAGAATAACAACGGACACCTCCCGTGAATTTACGTACTATCACTGTCCTGGATAAGGAATGGGATTGAACGCTGAGGAATATGTTTGATCCTTCCAAATTCTTTATGTGTCTGTCCACGAGACTGCAATTCATTAGTTGTATTGCATATTTGTTTATTTTCGTTCATTAATTTGGCATTAATCAAGTCATGCATTTCCTAGATTGCTTACTACATGTACTAGACGATATGTGTCTATTTGAAGGCCGTGCGGTTCCCTGTAGTTATTGCATTCTTGGTAGTTGGTATCTTGTGAAATCTTGGAAATTATACCACATCTACTTATTTTGATATAAAATCATACCAAATCCACTTCTCTTATATAAAGTGTTGCTGCTGCTGCTCTCAATTTATACTTGAAAGTCTTTCCTTTCTTGAACAAATATCAATCAAAAAATTATTTTTATTATTAAGGTCGGTGATAAAACATTAAGATTGAATTTGCAACAGGTTATACTGACAAAGGTTCCTGATTAGGATAGTCACAGGAACTCACGCCGATCCTTATGCCTTTTGATATTAATGAATGAAAAAAAAGGATATAGAACGTACAATGAAATTATTTTTCGAGAGGTCATTTAGAATGTGACGAAACAGGAAGGATGAAATATAATTTAATAATCATTCATTCAAATTTAGTTGATCAATTTAACGTCCTTTTTAAATTGGGATTTAAAAAGTATTCAACCACACGAGCAGACATCATCAACAACATCATCATCATCATCATCATAATCATCATCATCACTATTTTAGAAGTTTTAGTATATCTATTGTTATATGTTATAGATCAAAGGATGAAGTCATTTGATATACTATATAGCCTGCAAGTGTTAACCCTTGTATTGTATGAAACAGGTATTTATATTTATTTTTTATTTCGAACGGGATCGTCTTTTATTTGTCATCGACTCATAAAACATTGATAGCCGATAAAAAAAATCATTTGTACGAGCTTCAGAATTCCACAAAAAACTTTCTGGGGTTCAAATATACTGCGTTTTAAATACCATTGTACAATACGGTAAATAACCAGCTGCATTTGAACACCTTAAGTTAGTATGGATGTCTTTCGCCATCTTAAATTGTAAAAAACAGAGAACCTAAGGTCCAGATTTTCAATCAAGTTAGCAGGAATGCAGATAACCTATGTGAATTTTCATTTAAAAGAACAATTTATAAGATTTTAACTTATAAATATTAATATTTTTCAAGTGTTGATTATTTTTGATTGATTTTTAATGTTTTTAATTTGGCATTTTAAGGGGAGGTAACTCTGAAGTAGTGCATTTTCTGAAGGAATCTACATGGAATTTTGCCATTTTGTATTTTAGCCGGAAAAAAGGTACGGTGACCCTATCTTTTCCTTTTGGTATTCTCAAAGCATTTTCTAAAAGCTATCTTCTCGTATTTTATTTTACAATTCTATCATTTAGTTTAGATTCTAATCACATAATGATGTTTTTTCCTGTATAATCCATACAAAATGTGTCATTTTGTCACAACCTGTAGCTTGAGAAAATGCTCGGTGACCTATCATTTTTTTATATTTTTGAACATATATCAATATGTACTACGTTTTGACAAAGTATGAACAAATTCTATCATTTTTAATTGATACTCCCATACCACCTTAAGTTAACTCTCATCTAAAAGCACACAAGGGTAGAATTATCACATGTTATTGACCGTTGTCACTTGACAGTTATCCCACGTAAAACCGGTTCAATATATTACAAAACAATTTTAGTACACAAACTAGTTTATGCCTGGTATCTTGAATGGCAGTCTTTTTAAAGATCAAAAATAAATATCAAAACATCGTAAGAAAACAACGCCAACCTTACCATGCTATTTTGAAGAAACCATCATCCTTAGCTAGACATAGTATATCTTTTGTTTCTGTATGTCTGCTAATTTAAAATAGCTCAAGATAGGATTTGGTTAGAGTGATAGCAAATAACGGAGTTATCTCCACTTGAATGTTATTGCATAGTGCACGTCAACCAAATTGTATCTTCAATTAAAAGAACAGGAAACGGAAACGAAAGTTATTGTTGTGCATAACTACCTATTATGAACTGAAATCAATGTAAACTTCAGTTTTTATTTGTTATGTTTTTACCATGGCCTGATTCTTAGGCTGACTGGCACTTAAATGATCTCTATTCTTATCATAGGTTGATGTCATTCCTGTTGAACCTTTTGACATAGATAGTATCTACTATTATCACAAGCCCAGTAGTAAGCACTACTGTGCTGTCATTTAATATCATTGATACTTTTATAAATGGTGTAAGTCAGTTTTAAATGCTTACGGTAACTGGAGCATCTAAATGTTTAGCGGTAGATTTTTTACCTGAACGGTTGTAAAGGACTGCTGGGTCAATGTACTTTTAAATTTCAATTTAAAAACTGGAGGTCAGGGACCTTGTGTTTTCGATAAAATACATTGACATTAACGAAATCAGTTATTCTATATTAATTTGTTAATTTAAGGGAAATTACACTTTTTCATTATAGGGAAACATTAAACTATAGAATTGATTTACATTCAATGAGAGAATTGCTTTTCATAAATGCTTCCACAATATAAAATAGAAATAGCCTTATTTTCTAGAAAAATAAAAAAAAACAAAACAATGTGTCCTATCAAATTCAATAAAATAATCTGCCCTTGATTTCAAAAGGATTCTTTTCTGAAAACGTTACAAACACTTAACTTCAATCAATTGTAGTTTAATCTTTTATTTCAAGTTTTAGGTGTTCATGTTTTATATTGAATTATGCTTGGTTAAATATTTTTAAACCAAAAAAGTATTTTTGCATTATGTCCAGAGAAGATGCTCAAAAAGAGAAACCGTATCTATCTTAAGCTCCGTATTTGTTTCTGTAATCAAGTTGTTGTTTCGAGCGCAACTGGTGAGTCTTATGTGGAGGAAATGTGCGTCTTGCATAAGAACCTATATTCCTGATATCTTTGATGTTTTTCACCATTTTTAACCACGCTTCCGGGTGCGGAATTTTCTCGCTGTGTTGAAGACCCATTGGTGGCCTTTGGCTGTTTTCTGCTCTTTAGTCGGGTTGTTGTCTCTTTGAAAATTCCCCATTCCCATTTTCAATTTTATCAAGGAAAGTAGGAAATAAGAAGATGAATACACATAAAAAACGATACATGACATGAAACTTTCATATTTTATTCATTCAGTTTAAATGACTAAGATTTTTTTTTCTGTTAAGGTTCTGTGCATCTGCCTTCAACAATCAACAATCGTGTAGTAAAGGAATGTGAGTCAATTATACACAGAGGAAAAGGTAAGCATCTTTACCAGAAGCATCCCTTTGATATCACCAATACAGTTATAAAAAGTGTAAGAATCAACAAAGAATCACTGCTAGGTACTCCTTTTAGTCTTTAATAAAAAAAATGTCTGAATACTGCTAGGTTTTATGTAAAAGATTCTGCTGAGTGCTTAAACATGTTAACAGAATTTCACCACTTTATTCAAAAACCACACAACATTATTAATGTGTAATGCAATCATGATAATGGTTTGTAATATAATGGAAAAATACAACATCTTCAACTGTTTTGAAATAACTTAATATGTACCATTTTTTTCAAAGATAAACCACATTTAGCAGCGACCTATACCCCACACAAGGTTTATGAGGGACAATCCGTAACGCTCTGCTGCTGCTCTGAAAGTCTGGCAAAATCAATAGAGATATGGTGGAGGATGAACAGTTTAATACTGTCTTCAAAGAATGATACGAACGTCCATTGTCATAAAATTATGTACGTCAGTCGTAACGATAGCGGTGTTTACAGATGTTTTGTAGATAACGAGATTGGATTATTGAATGCTGATGTTAAAATTGAAGTTTCGTGTAAGTCGTTTTTTATTAGTCGTTAATGGTTCAATTATTCGTTCGTTTTAGAAAATTGTATTAACATCAGAGTCAAATATTGCCGTTTCCAAACTTAAACAATAATTGCTTGAGTCGTGTTATCACTTTTGTCACCGAATTTAAACAAACAAGGTACAAAAAGCTCCATTTGTGCATTATTCGATGATTTGTTTTGTTGACAATTAAACCGAACATTTTCTTTGTGTACACAACTCTTCCGAAACATGAGTTATATAACTGTTCGTACCTTAAAAGAACCTCACGTCATTTGTCAAATTTCCACTGTTTAGGAAGTTGTTAGCCATTCAAAACGTTTTGGTGTTTGTTTTTTAAAATATTACCCAGAATGCATTCGATTCGGGAACTACGAATTGTTATTTCATTTTTTTTTTCCAAAATGGCATGACATGTTATAGTCAGAGAAAACACAGACTGATTCGGAGTGACCGAGAATCACTAGTATTTATATCATTGTGAAATGGCAATTTGTAGATAAAGGGTAGTATTGCGTAAGTCGAGTGAAAAAATAGGATTTGATCTCATACCACACAGTATCATGTAATGGAAACGGAATAATTGCCCGCATTTTGGTATTTTCAATATGAGGTAAACACTATAAAACATTGAAAAGAAATAAAAGGCAAGATTTGATTTTCGAAATGTTAGAAACTCCTGTTAATACAAATAATTCTAATCTTTTTTTAATAGTTTGTATTAGTCCAATATATTAGCCGTAAAAGTTGAGACAAATAATCAAATTAAAATGTGAAGAAATAAGTGGTTTTCATCAATTATATGTACTTACTGTAGATAGATATAAGAAGATATGATGGTATGAGTGCCAATGAGACAACTCTCCATTCAAGTCAAAATTTATAAAAGTAAACCATTATAGGTCACAGTATGGTTTTCAACACGGAGCCTTGGCTCACACCGAACAGTAAGCTATAAAGGGCCCCAAAATATACTTCCAATTATAATAAGTATAGTTTTCATATTTTTATTAAACATCTTTCAGACCCTCCCGATATTCCAGATCAACACATAAATGTTACAGAAAATAATGTTTTGCGAACCCTACAGTGTCTTGCAAACGGGGTACCTGCAAAGTATACATATGGCCAGTGGAAGCATCTGTCATTTTGCGGTGAATACATTAGATATCTAAATTCTACTATTGACGGAAGAGTAATGTCACCTCAAATAGCAAATAAGATGAAAAGGTATCAGGACAACGGTATCTACATATGTACTGCCTCAAACGGAGTGGTTGATAGAACCGGCAATAGTTTTCAGAACGGAAACATATTAGTTATCGCAAAAGGTAATTCCAAAAATATAAAACTCTCTCTCTCTCTCTCTCTCGTTTGAAATCCAAAGGAAGCGAGAATGGGTACGTCGATATGGTAGTGTTTTCTGCTTTGCGTGTTACACCCGCCACACAATCAGGTGTCAATATCTGGAATAGGGCACACTCTTTGATATATCAGATCAGACGAGCATTCTTGAATCTCAATATCTATGAAGGCGAAAACATGTCTCCAGTGGGTTGACACACAGACATATCATATCCGTAAACTAATTCGTGACGGTTATTGTAAAGTTAAAGTACAAGTAGTGTCTATTTCAGTTTTTCTTCTTCACTACTTGATATGACATCAGTTTTTTGGCCAGAATTTGGAGCATATCCCCGTAAATTAAGTCTGTAATATTGTGAACATGCATGCGTAATATATAAATTGAAAGATAAAATATGTTGTTGCAGAAGGTATATTACTGCTGCGAAAACTGAAGTTGGTAACTGGAAAGTTGAGATCATTAAGTTAATGAGAGTTTTTAGTTTGAAGTCTTCCATTTGTATCACTTATTCTGAAAATAACACAATATGAAGCCCACAATCTTTGATTTGTGGTATCCTTAATCTCTAGTTCACTGGGATATATGAGGTACAACCACTCAATGAAATCACGGATTATTAGGTGACAGGACATCATTCGTTTATGTTTATGTAAAATAAATGAATTTTGGAAGGAACATTCTTCTCTTTACTTTAAGAAGTTTCTGTATAAATTGTCCTTCATCAGGATACAAAAACAAATAGGCTAATAGGGGTGCACAATTAATACCCATTAGAATGCCGACTGTCTAGTGAATATTAACCCACTAAACTGAACAAAGATGTTTTCTATCAAAACGTCCATCATTTTGATGAGATAATCTTCAATTACTTGTTGCTTGAATCAATGTAGGTCTACAAAAAGTAAAATTTGTCATGAAATGAATCAAAGCAGTTGTATCTACCATCCCCTTTTTGATGAAAAATCACAGTAAAGCGGGAAGATGCAAATGATTTTTTTAAATTAGCGTGGGGAATAGAAGTCAACAGCGTAAAGAAATCCAGAAAATTTGAAGATTCTGATAGGAGATTTTAGAGTAGATTGTCAGAACTTTTAAGAATCGACATCTAATTGACTCCACTTGAAGAATATACCTCTCCGCATTATTTCTGAAGCCCATCGTCAACTGTAGAAAGAATAGTAGGAAGAACAATCTGTATTTGATGATTTTGCTTTACACTGATTATAACTTGAAAAGAATAGCGAAAAATGGTTTGCACGTTTTTAAGATTCGGTAACATATACGAAAGCTTCTGAGCACTCAGCAGCAAATATTACACATAACATTGACCTTAAGAGGTCAATGAGACATATGACTTTATCCTGACTTTAAGGTTGACCAACATGTTAAGTCGGATCTTTTTACATATTAACTGATTGTACAAAACAATATTCTTACTGCGAATCCAATGGTCGTTTCTTTTACTTTTTTAATCCATGTGCTAGACTAGGCTAAGTCGTAGGAAATAATGGTATTATTTTGTTTTAAATTTAAACCTCAATTGGCCGAGATCTATAGGTAAGACAATTTTCGGTATACTATAAGCAACATGTCTTGAACATTTTCATTTTGATTTTTTCCCCTTAATTATCTATATTTTTTATACTTTCCTTGCACTATTAAAAATGGTAATATTGTTTATTCAAGGTCCGCCTGTATTTGTGGAGAAAATTGAATATGATCAGTATGGTAATCTTGGGCGAATATTTAATCTGAAATTTTTTGTATACTCTAAATCTGAGATTGAATGGTATAACATAAAAAGTGAGAACAAAGAAACAGCAGCTTCCATACAGATGATTCATGTAAATAATACTATGATAACAGAAATAACCATAGAAGCCATTGAAATCGTTTTGAGCTTCAACATATCACAAAACAGTAGCTCTCATATGTACACTGTGACACTTTGCAATGGTTATGGCAATTACAGTTTTGAAGTTGAGATAAAATCAGTTCCAGTAGGTAAGATGTTATTTTATATATTCTTTTTTTCTAAAACATCTTTGAACAATCTCTACAAACCGGCAAAAAGCGGAACTCGTTAATTTTTTCAAATTTTCAGCACTATTGGCAACCTGCATTTACAATTACCCTCCAATCTGACACTGACAAACAAGCCTGATCTTTTTATTCAGCAGTTGCTGTATTTGTTTTTAAAAGCGATTTACATTGTTTAGAAGCAGTCCGTGAAGAAGACATAACATATCTTATAGTACTTCAATATTATCGTTCACTCTAGCAAAGGACCTAATTGTAGAACAAATATTTACACTTTTATATAATTGGTGTGTCCAAAGTGCTGTTCGGGTTCTACCTTAATCAGTAACGCCTTAACCCAAATATTAGAAATCAAAGAATGCAATAATACCTGAATATGCGAAAACCCCCTATGATCAGACAGAACCTTAAATGAAAAACAGCCAAATTCATCTTATTTCAGTTTTGCTTAAGGTAGTTGGAACCTTAATTTCATAATAATTTCAAATTGTTTTCAACATTTAATTTACGAAAGGAGTACTTTGAATCATAGCAGTACCTTAGGACTTACCATCTTCCCTAAGTCTGAATTATAATCTGAATTGATAGAAACTACATGCCGACACACAAACACAGTCAAATTATAAGAAAAATTACTGAAACCTTATTCTTTTTTAACTTCAGAAGAGAAAATTACCCATGGTACCAAGGTTGGAATTATCATCATTTTTGTAATTTTGGTAATGTGTGTCCCAGTTTTTGTAGCAGCAGGTAATATACCATAATAAATACGATCTTAGTAAAACGGCATCTTTGGATTGAATGAAGCAAACTAGCTGTAACGTCTTAAAATTAAGACCATGTGTGGCACATACATGTAATTTTATAACAAGATAATTCAGATATCTTTTAGAAATATTATAATGACATGTTAATATCTACGACTAACAGGACACAATTTTGCTGATAACAACTGACAATTTTGATTATTATTGTATCACTTTATTCTTCTTTTATTCTATGCAATATGAAAATTCATAGATAATTAATTCTATGTGTTTGTTTTATTAATTTTACATTCTCTCATTTGATCTTATAAAATGGAATTTTAACTCCAAGATTATTTTTTGATGTACTTAGATATAGATAGAAATATTGAATAAACAGCTTTCTCGTTTCTCGTTTTTATATAGATTAGACCGTTGATTTTCCCGTTTGAATGGTTTTACACTAGTAATTTTTGGGGCCCTGTATAGCTTGCTGTTCGGTGTGAGCAACTGCTCCGTGTTGAATGCCGTACCTTGACCTATAATGGTTTACTTTTATAAATTGTTACTTGGATGGAGAGTTGTCTCATTGGCACTCATACTACATCTTCCTATATCTATTCAATTCTACTAGCGCGAAGAATACGTAAATGAAGGGTATTTCTGATTTTAACTAGTTAAATTGCTTCTATATATAACATTAATAAAAAAAATGATAATGTATAGAATTACCTTACGTCAAAAAACGACGGAAAAAGCATGTTTTTATCATTTTAAATTGGGATTTCGCCAAATAACGTCAACATATTTTGATATACTTTACTTTTGCTGTGACAATTTTTATTTTATTAAAAATGAAAAAAATTCAGGGGTTAATTGCCGGATTTATTTTTTTGTTTGTTGTCTTAAAGATCGATTCCGTGGACTTCTTACATTTGCATATCTTCACAGTATCAAAATTGAAATTTTTAGGTCAATATATATCTAAAAATCACTTTTTATTACAGTTTTCCTGAGAAGGAAAAGAAACAGAAAGAGAAGGTATAGTTGCAATAAGCTTTTCAACCCTTATTTTCACCTATTTGAGAATAAAATTATGGTATTCTTTGTTTAAACTGGTACATTTTACCATGATGTTTATATAGGAAAAAGAGGCATTTATAGTTAAATAACATTTCCGGATTTGTATATTAAATATTTTTTATAATTTCTTTTACCATGCAGAAATTCTGAGAATGCATGAATGTCGTACGGTTTTTTTCTCCAATATCCATTTTAACTTACTTTATGAAGATTTCAAACATTATCTTCTTTTTTTTAAATATTTGTATTGATGCAATCATGATTGTTTCTATTTTCCTTAATTTCAGAATAGTGGACAACATACCAGAATCAGTAGAAGGTAAAGTATATATTTGTGTTTGAAATAACAGTAAGAAAATGGTATCAAACCATTTATCAAGCTATCATAAGTTTGCCTGGCTTTTAAATGTTTAAGTTTGAGTGTTCTGGTGAAGGTGAACACAGAAAAGCGCTTTCGACACACAAAATTTATGAAAAAATATTTTCATTAACTCTGTGAGCATTTCTTAGATATGAATGTTTCACTTTTTTCCCTTTTTTCTGAGTAATTGAGGCATTTTTTACAATTCCTGATTCGTGGTGTTTGGTGTTAATGTTGATGCTAACGTAAACCGGTGTCCAAGAAGTGAACTATTTACTTGTAACCACGTCGAATAATTGAGAAACTGCATTGCGATATAGATTGATTAATCCATACTTCATTGACGATGCGATGACTTGATGTGTCCAGATGGTGTTGATCAAATTTAGCTATTCATGCAAAAAGTTTTCTTTGTGTTTTTCCTGGTTTTAAATGCCACAAATCTTTCACTTCTTATTGAATATTGACTTCCAACTATTTGGATTAGAACGACACTGATACAGACAAAATTCGCGTCTTGTGTACTTAAATATAAGCCTGGCATCCATGATGAGTTTTGTATACGCCACTGATATAGATAATACTCGCTTCTGGTGTACGTTTCGTTCTAAAGGACATCTTTAGCCCATTATGTTCACCTCTGTGTTGACTTGAAATGGTATTGATACGGTGATGTTCTTATTTACTGTCTAAATTGTTTTTGTAATTCGATACTACAAGGTCTTTCTGCCAAAGGGCATTTACGGCTTCTACACACAATTCTTGTTGATTGTGTAGAACGTCAAAGGTCCATGGTAACGTCACATACTGAGGAGCACAGACAATGTCAAAAGACAACGCAAAAAGACGATTTTGGCGGTAATGAAGCAAACTGAATAAAATGCATTATTTGTATACTTAAAACGGATGTCAAAAAAGGATACAGGATCATCAGCTTTTTAGTACTAAAAATACCAACTTATTTAACGTGTTTACTAATTATCTAGGAGAGCACAACTCACACTTTCAGCACAACGTTTTGAAGTTGGTGGTTTATTTGTTCTTCAACTTTGTTTTGGATTTGGTCTTCCAAATGTTTTGATTCGGGCGCCATTGATTAGTGAAATGTAGACGAAACCAGCGTTTTGAATATCGAACTAAAGCCTCGTATCTTTTTTTTAATGTTTACTGTCGATATTAAACGAACTCTTTCGCCAAAAATATCTTAAGGGGACGACCATTTGATATTCTGGGGGGGGGGGGGGGGGGGGGGGGGGGGGCAGGAGGATTTGTTTTGGATCGGTTATTTATTTTTGTAAACTAAGAGGACAGATTATCTATTTTCTGCACTATTGAAGCAAGATTTTTCATTTTCATTAAAGCAAGGGACTGATTATTTATTTTCACAACTATATTCATAATATTCGAAAACATACAATTTTTAAATTATTTGTTTATTATAAATAATTCATGTATAGTCAAGTCATTATGTACCATTTAATCAGAATTAATTATTATTCTCTGCAGAAATGAATCTTCTGTATTCCCCAATGCATATACATGTATTGCATACATACACAGTATTAAAGTTTGGTTGTATCTAAGGCTCTTTTAAAAGTATTGGCAAACATGTTTTTTTTAAGGGTTTTTTGAACTGCTGAAGGCCCAAGAAGCTATAGAACAAATGATGCAAAATCATGCCTTCTGGGTGTTCCCCAGATCCTTTCTTAAACTGAAAATGCAAGTTCTGTTTTAATAATTTTATGACAATATTTTGGTCTCAAAGCAAAATCACGTTATAGATTCAGTGTAAGACTTAAGTTTCTAGGAACAACATCAAAAGACAAATATGCATGATAAAGCAAAAATGTAATTCACATAGTTAAGTCTGTGGCTGCTGTGTTTTTTTAAACTCATGATCAAGTTAATAATAAAATTACTAAATTACAAAATGAATGAAATGGTCGTCCCCTAATCAATTGGAGGAAAAAATATACACATGTTTTCTAACTCGTGCCATCATTTTTTTTTAAACCTTGAAATTGGGGATTGTGATAAAATTGAGAATGGAAATGGGAAATGAGTCAAAGAGACAACAACCCGACCATAGAGCAGACAACAGCCGAAGGTTGTTTTTGTTGCTACAATTCTGCTCTATTGTTACTTTGGTATTTTGCTATATCGACAGATCTTCTCTTAGCTAATGCATGTTTTTTGTATCTTTATTGCAGGTCAGCCATTGCCTGTAGAGAACATTGTGTATGAAGCTGCGATAGCATTTCGACCAACACCCCTTCAAGCTAGCGGTGAAGTCATTGGTAAGAAAATTATATAAATATTTGCTGGCGTTTTAAAATCCTGCAATTTAACTGTTAGTTCGGTACGTTTTCTGGTGGTCCAAATGATCAATTTGGTTACTGAATTCTTTTTCATTAAAGGTATTCAGCGAGTAATTTGAAAATAATCTTTTTTCAGAATATAATAATGAAACATACAGCCAAGAGCAGACCATGCGACCATTGGTAAGATAATTAATTATCGTTTTTTGGGTGAAACAAAAAATGACAGAACTACTTACGTCAAATAAGGAGATGTTGTGGGGGTGTCAACGAAACAAATATCCACCAAAGACCAGAGGATACGAATTTATATACCCAAGTTCATCATACGGTATTCAACAATCAGCAAAATTAATACCGTACAGTAAGTACGCAAGATCCATATAAAATGTCCAGTTTAGACTGAGAGATAGGAACTCTGATTTATGTGAACGTTTCAAAAGTTTTAAGCTGTGAATTAAAAATTAAAAAAAATAATGTATTGATAATAGTCAATGCCGACATGATGACTTGTAAATAGATGATTACAACTCAATATAATAGTTGAAGGGCAGTGGTTTTGATCAAGGGGTATTGAATCGAAGGACAGTGTATATTTTATAGTAGCTGTGCTGCGCATTTCAGAGTTAACGTCATCAGAAATTTTCAGAACCAAATGTCGAGAGATAAAATGGTTAAATATATTGACAACTGTATCATTAATTATTCTAAATTAAGGAGAGTTTCTCCATAATCATTAGCTCTGATTTCTTTTCAGAATTTGGCTATACTTTTCGTTGTTTTCTGTGTTAACACATCTCTTTCACGTTTGTATTAGGTTTTGGCTTACAAAATATTTTGACCTCCAGCATCACGGATGTGATATAAAATGCCCACATTCGAATCTGGTGCGGTATAATTTTTGTCGTTAAACTTGGTTTTAAAGACCACGCCCATTTAGGGAAAACACGAAACATAACGATCAAATCAAAAGTCTGACTTACATAGTGTTAATGCATTTTATATGCAAAACTCTGTTTTGAAATGTTCAGTACAATAATTGAATCGTATGATAAATATGTGTACACATTTATTAGCGTAAGATTTGTCAGTTGCCTTCACCATTTTCACAGACGTCTTAACCATTATGTGCATAGTGATTCACAATATTTGAGGGAGGATATGAGTTCTGTACCGAAACGTCCTAATTTGTGTAATATAATCTACTTGTCTATTTTTGAAGACCGTATGTTAAACTCTTTTTGGTCATTTGTTTCAGTACATCAAATGGGTTTTATATTAAGAACTGCTAGTGTTTAAAATTTTATGATTGACCAAAAGATAGTGTACATACAAAATTAATGAGTTTATTTCATTTCAGACAGGACAGTTGAATTATTCAGATATGTATTTTCAACCGTCTACGTCTCAAGATACGCGGATCATAGGAATAGAAAACAGAACAGTATATAGCGATGTAATTAATTCAGAAAGAGGCAGTAGTGCCATCGCCACGAGGAGTATATCCAGTAGTGATGAAGAAGATTTTGTTGACATTGAGGGTCTTGAAAATTTCATTGACAGAAGTGAGGACATTTGAATTTGAAAAAAATTTATGTAAGATATCACGAAAACAGACTAAAAGTTAAAAAATAAGAAATCACATTTCAACATTTCCCAGGTCTAGGCATCGACCATCCATTTTATTATTTGAGAAGACAAAAATATTGAAAACCGACAATGATTAGATACAAAAAAACATCTTGCGTCTGTAAGATTATGAAAATAAAGTTTGTTTTCAAATAAGTTGAACCATTTGTTTGTGCCAAGGCAAAAACATAATAGTCCCTTCCCTTCATCCTCTAAACACACACATTTACTCAAAATGAAAGATCGGTTACTTAGTTGGATATCTGCATATTATATGTTGTTTAAAGATGCAACTTCTCTCTAAATATTTTGCCGAGTACCAGTGTGTATTTTGATAATATCAGCCTTCTGCAGCAACGTGATCTATTGTTACAGTGTCACCAAACTCCAACACTAACATCTAATGTTAAACAAGGCCCCCAATCATGGGCAACAGCATTGATTGAAACAAAGTCACCCTTCTCAACCACCATCATATCTTGTTTAACAATGCCACTAATATTAGGCACAAGAGTGTATTGTAACAATTACAGGCTTTTCCTGCACATGAATGTATTGTAACGATGTCACCCGTCTCCAGTACCAGCATCTATGTTTGACAATGCCACAAATCTAGAGCACCAGGATCTCTTGTAAAAATGTCAGCCTTCAAGAAAATATTTTAATACACATTAAGAAAATACCTTTAAAACATACTTTTACCATTTTTACTAGGGATGTCAACGAGTACTCGAATACTCGAATACTGCAGTATCTATCGGTTATAACGAGTATCGAATTATAAAGAGATAATCGAATGATAGATTTCCTGTTAGGCAATTGTCTCTTGGTATACATTAAATTTATTTTCTTGTAAACGTCTCTCAGAGATTAAAATAGCAATCACTGATTAATCATAATTTAAATACGTTCCGAATAACTGTACTGAATTGTCCTTCAAATTTCCTCGGATATATAACGTTTGAAAATACAAACGATGTGCTATCATGTATCCTTTAACAAGACAGACGAAATATACTAAAAGGATATTCAAACTCACAAGTCGAAAATCAACTGACAATGTCATGACAAGAACCGACGAAAAGACAAACAGTACACAAAACACAACAAAGAAAACTAAAGACTGAGTAACACGAACCCCATCACAAATTGGGGGTGATCTCAAAGTTATTGGCTATTTATGACAGCAACTTCCCTAGGCCTTCACTTTACTCTTTTGTGCAATGTTATATCCCCAGGTGAACATAAAACAAGTATCTTTGACACATTCCCCATTTCCATTCTCAATTTTATTTAAAGGTATTTGTGCGATGCAGAAATAAAACGTTGTCAAATATTATGACATGTGATGTTATGCTTAAGTGGGGAATTATATATTGTATTACATTTGTAAGACTTAAGACTGACCAATTTCTACTATTAAATCTCATTTTTTTATGAAATTTTGCCATCAGAAACTACAAAATAATAAGTTTGTCCTTATCTTTATTTTTCTAGAACGTTTGACAAGCGTATCAGCAGGCCGGCTGATTTCTCTGTTATTTTTTTCATTGTGTTATAAACCATTGTCACCAGACAATTTAACAAAGGCAAAAATGTATTTATACTTCGACGGCATATATACGATTTCTATTAACTTTTATTCACGCAAAACAAGACGACTTCTTATCAGAAAAACCATTTAATGTTTTTATTTTTGTTAAAACAGTACAACACGTTATGGTTTTAAGTGTTTATTTAGAATAAAACTGTCATATTTGTAATGTTGATGTTATCATTTTCACAACAAAAATATTGTTTACACTAAAAATACTCTTTTAAAAATAAAGTGAACAATTGTAACGCTAGTGGTAATATTTAAGGTAGCACAATACAAAGATTTTTTTACTTCCAATCTCCAATCTTTAAAATGCTGTTATTTTCTTAAGACTGCATATAAATTAATAAAAGAGGTATATATAGATATATAAAAGATTAATCTTTTAAATGAATGCAATATTTTTGTTATGCAATCATTATGTAATCAATTATTATGCAATTAATGGCAAAATCTTGGTCAGTTTACTTGAATGAATTTAGCTCTATCATCTCTTCAACTACACAAGAAATTTAAACGTTAACTTAATCAACACAGCAGGAGCTACAAAAGGGTGTCTCAAATTATCGCTATCATATTCCATTCTCTTATAAATCTGTAATTAGTGTAAACATCCTTACCACATAAAAGTAGATAATGTTTGATTAGGTGTAAAATTTGATCTATACATTCTATCCGAAATCTGAGACACTCTTTTGTAGATAATGGCTCTAGGAACAACATATAACAAAATGTTTCCACATTCGCCATACCAATCATTTTTTAAACACCTCATTGCCATACCAATTATTCTTATGATATGGCACAAACCCTTCTAGAAAGGACATTTTGCCGTACAAATATTAAATACTTTACCTGCTACGCCTCTGATTAATCCCTTTTGAACTCTGTGTCCCGACGGCCAAGTCAGAAAATACTTAAATAGCTCCCGACACATTCAAAGGGGGTTACGCCTCTGATTATCAGAGTGAACTCTATTTCAGAGATACTTATTGCTATTATAATCATTTCCAATTATCTATGTCTACGTAGTGTACTGTACATAAATGTCATTTTTTTTTATGTGGCCAGTGTGGGGAAAAAGGACCCCCCCCCCTTTTTTTCCCAAATACATAAACAAAACAAAACCGTAATCGTATTTAAAGGATCCAGTAAGTCTTAGAAAACATTAACCGAAATGATTAAAGGAATCAAGCGCAACAGACTCAAATATAAGCGCGGTTTCTGCAAATTCAGTTCAATGGAAATGCTCACAAACGTCATCAACATTTTGGTGATATGATGCATAAAAGAATAAAATATTAATAACTTAACTTACCTCAAACTTGCTGTCACTCGTCTTGCATCTATAAAGTAAATAATAATCGACCTTCGGCGTCTTTCAAATTTCCAACCGGAAATGTTACAATTACTCTCAAAGAAACACGAATCCGGATACGGTCTGATATTGCGGGAAGTTCTCGTTTTTACATGTTTCGGTTCCAATTAAAATTAATGTTTACATTGTTTATAATAATGTACAGACGAAAAGCAAAATACTTTTCTTTGAATACAAAATATTTATTGGCACAAAGTCATTAATTATAACAATGAATGGTTCCATTTAAAAGTCAGTCCTGTACAGTAGTATTGCATATAATAATATTTAAACAGACATATATATATATTTATAATGAAAAGTTTATAGGATATTTAGAAAAATGTGAGTGGAATAATTAGACCATATTACAATAATCACATGGGATGTTTTAAATCTGAATTAGGATAAGAAAAAATTGACATGAAAAAAATATCACGGCCTTTTCACTGGTTTCAACAACCAGTGAAAAGGCCGTGATATTTTTTATTAAGCATGAAAGGACAAATTATCACGGCCTTTTCACGGGATATTGAAATTTCACGGTCTTTTTCTAACATCAAATATTTTTCACGGCCTTTAGAAATATTTTTTTTACAAAAGTCACGGGGTATTTTCACGGGGTTTTCACGGCCCTTTGATATTTCACAGACATTTCACGGCCTTTTCATGGGCTGTTGTTACAGTAGTGTTAACAAGTATATAAAAACCCTTAAATTAAAATCAATGGAATTCACAACTATACATGTTGTTGACATACGTGATTGAATTGAAAATGTATGTGTGTTGATTGATTGATTGATAGATTGATTATTAACACCACTCAAGGACGTAATGGATATATCATTCTTTTGTGCCAGTCTCTGTACTCCGGGCTTCAAAGTTATTGTGAAACTACCTACTCTAGGGGCGGAATGAATCAGGTGTGGTTTCTTTCGAAAGATTGCTTAGAGTACATACAATCTAAGACTATTTCCTCTTGCAATAGTATTAAAACGTTTGACTTTTCTACCCTTTACATGTACAAGTATTCCCCTTTCCAAATTAAAAAAACAAACTGAAAGAATTGGTCATATTTTGTTTTATAAAAATGATGGCCAACGTAAATACAAGTATCTGATCTTAGGGAGGGATAAATCGTACTTTGTAAAAAATCACTCTAATTCAAATAAAAAATTCCCTGAAACTGACACTATCAAGATGCTTGATTTCTTGATTGACAGCATATTTGTTACGTTTGTAGGAGGTTTTTTCAACAAACAATCGGTATTCCCATGTGAACCAACTGTGATCCTCTTCTTGTCGACTTGTTCCTTTATTCGTATGAGGCTGACTTCATACAAGAGCTACTTAGGAAGAATGAAATGAAGCTAGCAATAACCTTTAACTGCACGTTCCACACTGATATATATATAATGTACTCCCATTAAATAATTCAAAGTTTGGTGACTATGTTGAACGCATCTATCCAATCGAATATGAAATAAAGGATATAACCGATACAGTGCAGTCTGCCTCATATATTGACTTACATCTAGAAATTGCCAATGAGTGTCGGTTGAGAACAAACCTTTACCACAAAAGAGATGATTTCACCTTTCCAATTGTGAACTTTCCATTTCTATGTAGCAACATTCTAGCAGCACTTGCATATGGAGTATATATCTCCCAGTTGATACGATTATCAAGAGCTTGCATGACCTATCACGATTTCCTTGAAAGAGGTTTGCTGCTTACAAGGAAGCTATTGAATCAAGAGTTCGAAGTGGTGAAGTTGAAATCATCCCTTCGGAAATATTACGGACGCTATCATGAGTTGGTCAACCGTTATGGAATATCTGTTTCCAATTGTTGAAACCACAATCTCGTCCTCTTTTCCTCGAATGTGAGCTACCGAATTAAACTTATCACCAGGTTTGTACTTACATGATCAACACGACGGGTGCCACATATGGAGAGTGATCTGCTTAGTACCCTTCCGGAGCACCTGAGATCACCCCCAGTTTTGGTGGGGTTCGTGTTACTCGGTCTTTAGTTTTCTATTTGGAATGTGTTTCGTGTACTATTTTTAAATGTCTTTCATCGTTTTTCGTTTTTTGCCATGGCATTGTCAGTTTGTTTTCGACTTATGAGTTTGAATGATCCTTTGGTATCGATTTCGTCTGTCTTTTGTGATATTTGTGTTCATTGTCCTCATTTATTTACAAG